TTCTCTTTTTTAGGTGGTCTACCACGTTTTTTTCTTTCATTTTCAACCAAACTTGAGCAAAGAAATTTATCGAGATCATCAACAGCTGTTTTCAAATTGCACAAAGACTTTGACATTTTTTTTGAGAAAAAGAGAACAAATTGGTTGCAAAGTAAATGTTAAGAAAGAAAGCAACCATTCTTTAAATATAGTATAATCAATCAATCAATCAATCAATCATCATGACGCATGGAATATATTTTGAAGCCCGGTAAGAACACTGTTCGCAAATATAACAATCATGGAAAATGAATGGAGACAGATATTTATCGACAAGTGATAGCCCACTTGTTATCTTTTAACTATTTGCTCGGGCGAATAGATATTGTATACGTAATATATACATGATATACATGATATTGCAAATGATGTCTTGATCCATTTTCGAAGAACAAACAAAGACATGTTGAGCTCTATCATGTCTCAATCTAAAATATATAATATTTATTCTGTATAGCATCTACAGACTGTACTTTGAATTATATCAAATCACGTGACAAATTTAATAGTGACGTAATAAGATGCGTTACGTGAATCGTAAATACGTACACCAGAGAAGGTTTGCATAAAAAATCTACGTTACAATCTACAATCATGAGCGCATCTAACAGACGGAAAAAGCAAAATGGCGAAAATAATGAACAAAATCTAAAAGACAAGATAGGTCAAACGGTTCGCGACATCTGTAATCAAGAAGCAACAGCATTAGGAGTAACACCGACCTCGGATTTTATCACTTCTCTCACGGATTTGGTGTACGAACACGTCGAAACCACCGGATCTTTGTTGGAAGATTTCGCGAATCATGCTAAACGTAATACCATTGCAATAGAGGATGTAAAACTGCTCGCGCGAAGAAATGAAGATCTAAAAACATTTATCCATAACTTTGCAGAAGATTTAGAGAAGCGTAAAAAATCGCGTGCCAAATCCTCGAAATCTGTCAAAACCAAAAGAATTGTGGACCAACAACAATCTTGTGGCGAAAGTGCAGAGCACGATGTTAATGTTGACGATGGAGATGATGAATGGGAGGATAGCTAGCCGATGTTGTATTACTCTTAACCTTTTTAGAATATAAATACATGATCATGGAATTTAACACCCGTATTTTCGTACCATTGTAAAGAAAAATGCATGTTGATATCTAACTTTCGTGTAATTCATATTTTAATATCAATATACAATAAGATAACAAAGTAAACTGAGGGTTCAATAATTATACTTTGCGAATATCAAAGGTTTCCTAATAATAAACTGTACAAGGTTTCTGATCAGAAACATACACTTATCACAATATCAATATTGTCCCAGATGCAAAGATCTTTTTTTAAGGCAAAATAATGACTTTCGAAGTAGAATAGATTACTGACAAGAGTTCCTATCACCAGTAATGAAAAATTTTCATGGTAGTGATGATGGTGATTTTACAAACAATTTGACATGTTCCTTTGTGTGTAGACTGGCTCATGGATTTGCCTCTTCAACTTCCCAAACGTCTTCCTCATCATCAAAATTGTAGATCTATAATATAATAATAATTCAAGAATCGACAGAGAAGACAGACGATGGGTAAATCCTTTATAATCATCATAAGTGAGACTTTATCCACGGTACTTACTATTCTTTTCGGTGGAAATGCTTCGTAGTCAAACCTCATAACTTCGTTTGCTTTGAATATCAAAATACAAAAGTTCTCAAATGCCAAATCATGCAAGATTTTCTCAGAAGAATTAACAGAATTTGTACTGTTCAACATTGAATCCAACTTCAAACATTTGAACGAATCTTTTTCGCTCTTTGGAATTTCTCCTGACGGAGGCCAAGTAAAAGCTGCCCTGCTTTGCGATGAAAGCGAATTCCATAATTGACATCGCAGCGACTCCCAATATTCGCGTGGTGAGATGTTATTTGATTCGTCAAGAACTATCTTTGGGGCTGGAAATCTGGTTATCTTATTTTGCGATGATGTAATATAAAATCGACCCGAGAATTTATAAATTTCCTTTGATGTCGGCATTTGCCTAGAGGCATTAAAACAGAGCGAAAGGCCATATGACCATACGAATTTAAAGGTGACGTGATAATGATATCCATATTAAAGAACGAATTAATAAAGTTCTTTGGATGGGACGCATCACCATACCTACCAGTTTAATTGAGCATTTGGATTCGATTTAATGTCACCGTGTAAGTTGTGGTCATTAAA